AAAAAAAAAAAAAAAGGCACAGCTACTTTATAACCTGAACTGTGTCGAACTCTGAGCTTATTTAAGAGACAAAAGTCTAGAGGTGACTGGGGTGTGAGCTCTTACTTCCTGTGACGGGCAGCACGGCTACTGATAGTTCCAAGGAAGGAATATGCAATACATAGAAAGATAGAAAGACTCTGTGTCGTCCTAGAGTGAAAGTTGTGTCTTCCTCCTGTAGCAGGCAAGGCTCACACAAGCAGAATCAAGTTAGAGATGCCTAACATGGAAACGCTAACTAGGTCCTAGAAGCCCAAAGCCTACCCCACTCCATTTTCAACCCATATGCCTGGGTTTTGAAATCAGTTCTTTCTGAGTCGACCAAAGTCAGTGGACCCACTCCTACTACCCCATCTCCAAATATCGGATTACTCTTCCATGATCAGAATGAATCCCAAGTCCATCCCATAAGGAAGTGCATAGTCTCAACAAAGAGGAACCTGCAGGGGAGGGGACTGCAGGGACAGTCGCCACAAAATACCACTGAGTCACCTTCTCCTTTCTCCCTACCCAAGAGAAAAAGTGAAGTGGATCCGCTGCTCTTGACTGGCTAGCCACTTAGCAAAAAGTATGTGGAAGTCCTCTGTGAATTACCAAGAACCATGCAAGCTCATTTGTGTCTCTCCTCTAATTTACAGTCCCAGGAAAAGATCATAAAAACAAAAAACAAAACAAAACTGTTTACACTGCTCGGGGGACCCGGGGAGCCTTGGCCGGCCGGGGCCTGGCTGACAAGCCAGAGAGTCAGCCCCTTCACTAGTCTTCCCTCCCGTGGTGCCCGGAGCCCCGCTGAGGCTCAGCTGGGGCCAGCTGCTGGGGCCTCCTAAACCCCAGGACCAGGAGGAGCCCACAGGCTTGCCGCACAGGAGCACAGCAGGCCCCGCCCAGAGACCACAGATGAACTCACCAAGCTACTACCTCCAGCTGCCCCCAGAATGACAATAAACCTGCATTACAGAAGACGCAGCCACCGGCTCCCGTGCCAAGCATCAGGAAAACATTTGCACCCTTAGATGATGCCACGAACAGCTGGCCCTCCCAGCAGCGAGGCAGCCAGACTCGCTTGGTTTCGGGCCACTGCCATGGGGCCTGATGTCCCCGTGGGGAAGTACAAGGAGTTTGAGCTTTGGAACCTTACCCTTAAGTATGGGGTCATCACCATGCAACAGAAGATTTTTTAATTTAAAAATGTAATATTGTGTGGGGTCAGGGGTCAAGATGGAGTTTATGCTGGAGCCTTCACTGGGCTTTTTATGGGTCCTTGTTTGCCGTACACAGTGCTCCCCTTCCTTGTGAGGACGCACACAGCACACCTTAAGTCTTCTTTTCCTCCCTTCCCTCCCTTCCTTACTTCCTCCGTCTCTTCTTCTCCTCCCTCCTTGAGGACCCCCCGACTTCTCACTATCTATATTTTATTTTGCTCTTCATTTACAATTCGGGTTTCTCATACAGGAAAAACCATGCAGATTTTAAAGCTGTGTGTCTGGTTTACTTCACCTAACATTATGGTCTCGAGATCCATCCGTTTCCCTACAAGTTAGTCAAGTTAGTCTCCATGGCAGAGTAGCGCCCCACTGGGTGTGAACACCACGTTTTCTTTATCCATTCGTCTGCTGCTGGACACAGAGGCCACTTCCAAGATTTAGCTATTTATGAATTGTGCTGCTAAAAACATGGGTGCGCATGGATCCCTGTAATACGAGGTCTTTAGTTCTCTCCAGAAGATGCCTAGAAGGGGAAGAGCTGGGTCAAGTGGAAATTGTAGTTTTAGTTTTCCGAGGACTCTCCGTGCTGATCTCCATAGCAGTTAGATTCTTGTGGGTCAGTGGTTCACAAGTTTTCTCCCATGAATCTTGGAAATTGGGGGAGAAAACCTGGGTACGTCATCCCTAAAAGAGGTGCAGGAGATGAGGAAAGGCCATGACCCCATCTCCTTATCCTCACTTGAATCGGATCAGCTTCATTGTTCGATACACTGACCTATAGACAAGATTTGACCTTCCATAAGATCCACCATGACAACAGCTTACAAATAATTCAGGTTCAGGTAAAGTTCCATATAAGCTTATTTTGCAGTTGCTTTCAATTCTAAAAGCAGGAAAACTGTACCCTAACCTAAACTACTTGCCAAGAAAAGAGAGTCAATCGATGTGCAAACATCAAAAGAAATTTGATCCTGGTGTTGTTCTCTCTGGGCCATCAGAATCCCATGAAGGACGAGCAGTCAGTTCCTATCTTATTCCACCAGAAAACAGAAGTGATTGTTCTGGTCTCTCTGGGGTGATGAGAGGGGCTTCCCAATCTGATAGTATTGTTATCTGTTCTGAGTTCCAAATCGTTTGCATGCAAACTAACATAGCTTCTCCATAGACCCGTGAGACCCCAGATAGGGTACTCAGAGGAACCAACCCATAATTATCAGGGACCCACTATGTGTTGGGTGTTCGCTGAGTACTCTTCTTACATTATTTCCCCCTAACACATTATTTAATTTTATCTTCAGTTCTGACGAGCAAGGTATTTTTATCCCCACTCTACAAATGGGTAGACTGAGTCCTGGAGAACCTAAGTGACTTGTCCAGAGTCACACAGCAGGTCTCCCAGGCTTTGCAGAAAGTAAATCTGAGTTAGAAGCCTGGCTTCACCACTTACGGTATGATTCACCTCCAGCAAGTCATTCCCAGCTCCGAGCCTCAGTTTTCACACTGGCAAAATGAGGAGCCTCTTTCAGGACTTTAAAACCTCTTTCCTATTCAATCTGATTTTACAGTGGAAGCAGAGAAGGGAAAGAGCAAGCAACCGAGCTGCCCTGCCGACAGCCGCTGTGCGTGTTTGCTAAAAAGATTAAGGGTCCCCTGTTTTCCCAGCACCATTTATAGGAAATAGTGCTCGTTCCAAAAGTGTGAGGTGACGGACAACTGAGATCAAGGAAATGCAACGCATTGTTTCGCCCTCCCGACTAAGCCAATGCGTAAGGCAAGGCTAAGACTGGGCTGTGCGGCCTGCAGGTCTCCGAGGGTGGGGAAGAGGCTGGCAGCGGGGGGACGGTGCGGCCGGGCGAGGACCCCGTGACCCTGACCCGGCCGCCTGCGCTTGCTTTGCAGACAAGCCTACGGGGTACGGCTCCAGCAGTCGGCGGGCACCGCAGACGGGCATCGTGGACGAGTGCTGCTTCCGGAGCTGCGACCTGCGGCGGCTGGAGATGTACTGTGCCCCGCTCAAGCCAGCCAAGGCGGCCCGCTCCGTGCGCGCCCAGCGCCACACCGACGTGCCCAAGACCCCCAAGGTAAGCGCTCGCTGCAGGAAAAGCACTGCCGACGGAGACTCCGGCTGGGCTAGAAAGTGCCAAAGATCCAGATCCGCAGGCGTCTTTCTCCTAACAACATCACAGTGAGCCAGGCTAGAGAAGGGCAGGGAACCCCGGGGTAGGCACCCCTGGGACGTCCCCTGAATTAGCGAATGAGCAGACGAGTGTGGTGTCCGGGTGAAATTTTAGAAGCAGTACAGCTACAGAGAAGAGGAAAGGAAAAGGGCAGCGAGGAACGTGAGAAAGCAAGAAAAAAGGTCCCTTTCAGGTCTCTTGTGAGGACTCTGTTGAAAATTTTAAAACGTCAATGTGAGGCTTTAATCCTTGAAGCCGAAATTAACATCCAGAAAGACCAAGAAGTTCCCAGTGACATCTCTGCTGCTTCCTCGTCCTAAGCCACAGCTGAGGCTAACAGAGGACCACCGTGGCTTTAGTAAAGACGCCAGGGGACCATGCCAAGGGAACGTGGTCCTGGTGCATGCAGAACTGAGGTGAGGAGCAAGGGCCAAAGAAGAAACGCAGGTGATGAGGTAGGAGGTGTGGTCTCCAAGGGACCCAGTGCCTTCCATTTCTAATTCGAGAGGAAGTAGGTGTCCAGGGTGAGTCCCATGTTCCAGGAGGGGGACTTGTGACCCCTCTGCAGGGTCAGTGCGGCCTCCTGCTTCCTGCAGAGCCTGACATTGACCCTAAGGCTGTCTTCAGGGGACAGCACTGCAACCGCCCACTGTCACTGCCATTGTCCTTGTGATGTTTACAGTATCAGCCTCCACCCACCAATAGGACAGGAAGTCTGGCAGGAGAAAGAGGGGTGGGCCACAGGCACCCAGGAAGGGCGCAGAAGGAGGGCACGGAGGCGAGCCAGCAGATCAGAGGACAGAAGGGAGAGCAGAGCAGGGAGACCCCAGAGAAAAGAAAAATGGAGGAGAGGACTAAGCAGAGGCTAAGGATGAGAGAGGAGCAGACAGCAATCCAGACAAGCAGAATATGCTACAGAGCAGATGAAGAGACGCAGAAGTCACCTGTTACAAAGGGGCCCCATAAAAATGGAGAAGATGCGGAGGACAGTGCCCAGGAGAGTACAAAGAAAGGAACAAGAATGAAAAACAGAAAACAATAATTACAAAAGAGGCAAACAAGACTCACCCTCCCCACCACCACAAAAAAAAAAAAAAAAAAGAGTTAAAAAATTCGGATCAAAACCAAGGCTTTGACATGCATTTTTAAATTTTGTGCAGATCTCTTGGAGAAGGATTGCCCATGTCAATATATGTTCAGAGTTAAATATTAGCCCCAAATTCTCAGCAAGACTGAGTTGTGTCACAGAAGTTCCCAGATTTTCTTTCCTGCAACGCCATTGGAGTCTGCATTTTTCAGTCAAGTCCAGGGTTTAGGCCAAAGAGCATCCGATATTTACCTAAAGGCCTGTGAGGTAACCTTGGAGAGGCTGCTGAACTTTGTTTTTTCACTTTGGAATCAGACACAAAAGATGTATTAGTTTGCGGAGGTGACCAGAACAAAGGACCAGGGCTGAGCGGCTTCAGCCACAGGTCTTTTCTTTCCTCGCAGAGAGACCATGAGTCCAAACTCGGGTGCCCGCCTTCCCCCCGGCCATCAAGAAGGCTCTGTCTTGGACCCAGACTCTTCTCTGTGGCCTCCTTCCACGCCCACCTGTCTTCCCTGTCTGTCTAGGACACCAGTCAGATGGGATTGGCACCCCTGGGACCTCATTTTAACCGAGTCATCCCTGTAAGGAACCCATGTCTAGACACAGTCGAATTTTTAGGTACTAAGGTTTGACACTTCAGTATATGAACTTGGGTGAACGAGGACACAGTTCATCTCAGATGAAGACTTCAGACATCCAACTGCTGCATTTTGGTAGACTATGCTAGAAAGCTCTTTCTATCTCCCCCACTACTCTCACCAATCCCCCCACACACACACACGTGCATACAAATCTAGATTTTCTTTATCTGAAGTCCTGTGAGTTTCTCTCTGTGAATCACACTAGGCCTGTGTTACATTAGAACTGGAAGAGGCCTAAGAAGTCATTTGACTCCGTCCCTTCATTTTTAAAGACCAGGATCCTGAGATCCAGTTCTTTCCTTTGGACCAGCAGACAAACAACACATAATGAAAGCAAGTTGAATAAGAAAGAATTCCAAAAGGTAGAGAGGAGGCAGAAATAGACACAGAAAGTCTGCTGCTCATTTGAGATTTTTCAAATATCGGAAGGAAAGGAGTGAAGGGAGAATGGCTGTGCAGCCTCGTGGAATTTGATCTTAGAGATCTTCTCCCTCACTTCCTTCGGCTTCACCAGCAGGAGCAAGGTCTTCACAGAGAACAAAGTGAAAAGTCTCAGCATCATTCAAATTGGGAATCAGCGGTGCTAAGAGTCAGGATGAGACAGAAGTATTCTGTCAAGCAAATGATGGCTTTAGTACATAAGACAATGACTAAAACGCTAAAGCAAAATTTTACATCCAAGTAGCCTACTTTGAAAAAGTCACAATAGAAAGGACTGTTCTCTCTGTCTGGTCCTTGTGCCCCATTGTGCTTTTGACTTCCCCTATGGCTCATTGAGAACCCAGAATCCCTTCCACATAATGAAGATGCCCAGGGTGCAATCCATGAAGATACAATCAGAAGCACAGCAAAGCTCCAGATGGGAGCTAAACCACGGTTGCTATGGTGGGAAAGTAGACCCTGGCTGAAATGAACAGACAAAAGCCAGGCTGGTGCCTGAGCCATCTAATCAACCCCTTTAATCGGGAAATGCTGAGTTCTCTTGCTAGGACAGCTCACTCAGGGCCAGCCTCGGCACAGGCCGACACACTGCAGGTGAGGAGAGTCCATAAAAGCAGACATCTCTCCAGGGAACCACAGGAGAAGAGCTCAGAGTTTATGTCCTGTGGAAAGGTGTAGGCAAACCACAATTATGCCCAGTCACAAACCTTATTCAAGAAGAACTATTAAAAAGTAATAGAACTTTCTAGTGAAAGAAAGTCCCCATAGGCCCCAACTATGCATTAAAATGTTTCCTTTTAGAATGGGTTTTATCAACACTAAAGAAACCCTTTTGAATGTCTACATGCAATTGCCATATAAAAGAAACTAAGAATATAGAAAGAATCAATTATCTTTTCATCTCCTTTTTAGTATCAATGCCAAAGGACTAGATACATGGCATCTAATACTGGATGGATGGATGGATGGACAAACAAGTAATACAGGCAGATGCATAGAGATAGAAAGGTAGACTATGTAAATAAGTTACACTACTAAGGAAAAAATCCTTTCTCTCATCCTGCCTAGGATAATAAGTATAGAGTAAAATAGAAAAGGCCAAGGAGCTTTGGGGACTCAGGTCTTTGGTGTTGGAAATGTCTTTCTCCAGCTCAAACAGAAATTGTTCAAGGACCTTCTGCTACAGGTGCTACCGGCTAAACACTTTACAGTGAGCATTATATACTGACAAGATCCTCCCGTGATTTTGTGAAACACACCAAGTATTAATCATCATTTAAAATTCCCATATTTCAACTTCAACTTTTTCTCTTAGGGCAAATTGATCACTGTGTGTAAAACTAATTGGAATATGTGTGAATTTGCAATTCTGAAATACAATTGTAGAAAAATACTTTTATTGAGCATCTACAGTGTGCAAACCTCTGTACTAAGTATCCAGGAGAATTGTGAATCCTATATTGGGAAGGTGGTATAATATAGTTATAAAAAGCACAGAATGCAGACTCATACTACCTGACATCAAACCCTGGATCTTTCTTTCATTAACTTGGTAAAATTGGACCAGTCGTGCGATTTAGTTATGCCTGTTTCCTCGCTTCTCAAGCAGGTGTACTAAGTGAACCTACCTTATCCTAGGCTGTTCTAAAGACACTGAGATTTTATGCATATGCGTATACATACAAATATATAATGGTGTTCCAATGGTGTATGGTACGTAAACACAATTAAAATATTAGCTAATGTTACTTTATTTACTTCTCAAAGTTAGAACCATATGAAAAAGAAATGGCTCTGAAATGGAAGAAAGTCTCACACCACCAAAAACATCAACCCCACACTTGCCAGCACTTTTCACTGGTGTGCTAGTAGAATCGCAAATGTGTGACAAAAAAGACCTCAATAACCTCGGGCCCCTTCCAACTCAGGGAAGCCCTGGTCCTATGATTAATTCCATTTTAAATGGTGGCTCCTCTCTTGCACCAGCTGAAGGCCCACTAACATTTATTTCAGGGTCATAACAATCAACTTTTCAGAAAACCACCATTTTTCTCAGCCAGTTAACATCAAATGTAATATGTGTTTTCATTTCACGGTGCTTAGGGAAAATGTAATTGTAGCGTGAACTCCAGCTCTTGCTAGTTTTAAGTAAAATTGCCAAAATAAATAGAAATGCAGGATATTTCCGGGCTCACACAGCTTCCGGGACACTCAGTTTCTAGGACCTCACAAGCATTTGATCTGCTTTCAAACGTCTCTTGAAAACAAACAAAACCTCATACAGCTTCAAATGTATGTGCTATTAGGAGGTAAGGGTAGAAAAGGAGGCAAAGAATGAGTTCCCAAAGAAGAACTCCCCTGCTCTCTCCTGATTCCTTCTCTCCTACCAACAGGGGAAACAAGCCCTTCATAGGCAGCACGTTTTACAGTTTCTTAAGTCTACTAAGAATCCAACAGGGGGAGGTGAGATTGACTCTCCTTTCTTGCCTGTTTAAAGGCAATAAGACTTTTTGCAATATTTAGTAAATAGCATGGAGTTGCCTTTGAATCCAAGGGCAAACAACGTTAATCATTCAAAGTTAAAAGTAAAGCTTTCAGTAGCAATGAAAAGATAAAACAGTGTGAGATGAAACAGAATCCCCTTTTATGAGGTTTAGAACATCCACTAAGAGCTCCTCGGCTTAGACACTCACCTCACTGTTGAAAGCCCAGTTTTTGAGCCCTTTGATGTG